TGACCCTACCCTGAAAACACAGCCACCGGGCCCAAACTCACCCAAACCAGCGGCATATTGGATAGATCGAATCCCACAACGTCAGATGACTGGTCGGACGGGTAAATCTCGAACGAGTTTCAGCCATCCCCGGGCAAAAAAAACTGTCAGACTGTCTTAGTGTCCACGCGGGAGGGAGTCTAAATTCTCAATTGTGGCCGGAATCCTGGCCCCCAAAATGTGAGCTGGGCATGTCTTACTTGGCGCTTGGCTTGGCCTTGGCGTTGCTGGGGCTAGTTGATAGGCTCGACTGTACTCTCGGGTGTAGCACAACCACATGGGCAGCGGGCTGGACAGCGCTAACGTATCGTATCTTCAGGCCGGGGGTTCTACTTAGTACTTAGGTAGGGAATAACAGCTGGAGATATAGGAGAACCCTGAGAATGGGTCGAAGACCCTTAAATCCCTGACCCCGATCCCCTTAAGTGCTCCCCCCCCCCCCCCCAATATCTCCTCCACTTACCATTTCCTCTTTACAAAAGAACCTTTCACTACACTTTTCTTCCTCTATTTGTGTTCCTCCAAAATCTCAGTGTGATGCTCTCTTAACCCCCATCGAGTCACTCTAGTCAATTAAAACCCCCGTAGGGTCTCCACGACCCGACCTCCCCAACCCTAACAACCACCCTACCACCCAACCAAACAAAACCCTAACCACCCCGGGGGCCTCCTCAGCTCCCCTTCCCCACCCAGAAAACACCCCTCTCCCCCCGGACCACCCCAGAAATGAACAACCCCCCCAGCACCGACGGCAACTGCAGCGCCCTCACCAGCGCCACGAACGCGACGTGCCTGACCTCCCCCTTCGGCAACTGCTGCTCGGCCAAGGGCTACTGCGGCTCGACCGACAGCTACTGCGGCGCCGGCTGCCAGCCGGGGTGGGGCAAATGCAACACGGCCGGGTCGGCGCAGACGATCAGCACGACGGGCTCCTGCGGCGAGACGGCCACCAGCAACACCACGTGTCTGGGCAGTGAGTACGGCGACTGCTGTTCCCGGCTGGGGTACTGCGGCCGGAACAGTAGTTACTGCGGGGTGGGGTGTCAGTCGCTGTTTGGGAGTTGTGCTTCTGATGATGATGATGATGATGCGGGGTCTGAGACGACGAGGGTAGGGACGGGTACCGCGGCAACAGCAACAGCAACAGCAACAGCAACAGGTACAGCGACGCAGGCGGTTTCGACGGATGGATCGTGCAGCAGGGAGATCACCTGTGTGGGGAGTGAGTGGGGGGATTGTTGCTCCGGCCATGGCTGGTGTGGTGGGAATGCTAGTTATTGTGGCGTGGGTTGTCAGCCTGAGTTTGGGCGGTGTGATACCCGGGAAAATGGGTTGGGGAAGGGGGCTATTGCGGGGATTAGTGTTGGGGTGGCGGTGGGGGGGTTGCTTGTTGTGTTGGCGTTCGTGGTGTGGTTCTTGAGGAGGAGGAGGAGAGGGAGGTATACGGCTGTTGTGCCGGTTAAGGGGAATGGGGATGGGGAGGGGGGTTCCCTGGGTCAGGTGCAAGATGCGAGGGGCCAGGGGAATGGCCCCAACGAGATGGCGGCTGCTACTCCTGGAGGACAGCAACAACAACAACAGTTTGCGGTCGAGATTGGGCAGTCGAGGAAAGTGCCTGTGGAGATTGGGCAGGCGGATGTTACTTATACCCATGAGTTGGAGGGGAGGGGGGCAAGGGGCCTGGTGGAACCGGTGGAGTTGCCGGCGACGCGGCGGTGATATTATACTGCTGGGCTCGTATTTTTTGGGGTGGTTTTGGAATGCTGGATGAAAGGCGGATGGCTATAATGCTGCCAGAGGTTTTCTTGTCACGCCCTGAGTTGCATGACATGACACACAGCTCGTGGAGAGCACTGCGCAAGCCGCCTTGAGTGTAATGGATGCACGACTTCTACAGATATTGGCTAGGATATCGCCCATCCGGAATGAATACTTCGATGGCTGTAAACAGATGCCCTACCGGGTGAGCATACAGCGGAAAGCAGGATCAAAGACAGATGATCTGTCTCGGGAGAATCACAGAAGATCTGACAGACAAAAAAATCAATCATGGTCTCGTCAAAATACCCTATATGCATGTTCCAGCCGATATATACAAGAATTAGCCCCCAACCAACCTTACCCATCAGACCACGAAGTCTACTCTTCACTCGGACTAAACCGGCTCCACGACCGGATCCGCTTCCCAAACACATAGAACAGGATCGGCACCGGAAACAAAATGGCCGTCAAGCATCCCAGCAGTGTCATCGCCCAGTTGACCCCAAGGTTGTGGAACTGTACCCAGGTCAGCGTGGTTCTCGATCAGAAGTACAAACATAACGTACCATGGGCAACGCGAACATGGGAAACCCCGCCCCGAGCCCCGACCGGAAAAAGCAGTTGGCTGCGATGGCCGAGTTGGAGTTGACGCCGTAGCAGTCGATGATATAATTCAGCCCCTACCAGATGCATGTCATTAGCTACCTGAGTAGCATACCAAAGGCCAAGAACGAGACAGATGTACTGGTGTGACCATGTAGCCAGACTCGCCCTCGGCGTTTGTGTCTGCAACATAACTTACCTGCATGAAGATCAACAAGATCCCCGCTCCCAGGAAACCCCCCGAGATGGCCTGGGGCACCCAGGAGATAGACGGATTGGACGTCCACCCGAACCAAAACATCCCCGCCGGCAACAACACCCCGCCGATCATCATGGGAATCAGCCGCTCCTCGGGGACGATATGCCCCTCACGGCGGAGCACGGCCTGGAACCGCGTCTTCGTGAAGGTGATGATAATCCCGCAACCCACCAGAACTCCACACGTCACCGCGACAAACGGCAAAGCCCCGACCCCCTCATTCCACCCGCGCATCTCCTGGAAGGCGATCGGGTAGGCCTCAAAGCACAGGTACAGGAACCCATAGATGAAGCCCATGTACAGGGTGATCAGCAGCAGGATCGGCTCGCGGAAGAGCATGTGGATCGGCCGCACGAGGTACCGGTGCGCGATGTTCTTCAGGTCGACCGGTTCCTCCTCGGAGCGCGCATGGAGCGCCCAGTTGCGCGTGGCGTAGCGCCGCCGCCGCGCACGGCGCTGCAGCAGCACCGGCGCAAAGGTCTCGGGCACCACGAGAAACCCCAGCGCCCCAAAAAAGAAGGCCATGATCGCGGTGATGTACTCGGTCCAGCGCCAGCCCAGATATGACATCGTGATGAACCCGCCGACGATGGGGCCCGCCACGGGGCCGACGAAGGTGCTGCCCGCGAAGACGGCCATGGCGATGCCGCGTTCTACGGGGTCAAAAAAGTCCGCCAGCATGCCGCCCACGATGGCCAGCGGGGCACTGGCGAACAGACCCCCAAAGAACCGGCACACGAAGATTGTCTGCAGGTTCTGGGCGACCGCCACGGGGATTTGAAAGATGGCGAAGATGAAGAAGCCCACGAACAGCGGGGTTTTGCGTCCGTACAGTTCGGACAGCGGGCCGAAGGCCAGCGGCCCGAAGCTGTACCCCAGCACGAAGAGGCTCGTCCCCAAGATCATCACTTCCTCCGACACCCCGAATTGCTCCGCCGTGACCGCCGCCGCGGCGCTGAAGACGGACGAGGCGAAGGTCACGGACACGGTCATCAATCCCAGAATTATCGTGATCGTCCATTTGCGGAGTTCCGACCAGTTTGGGGGATATTCCTAATGAATTTGTTGGTCACTTTCTACAGGACGCTTCGACACAAGACAAGGCAGTAAACATACCGGATCGTCCGGGCCATCCCAGTCCACGATATTGGGATCTTTCCCCTCCTCGGACGAAGGGTCTACATTCTGCTTTTCGACATCATCATGCACCACTGTACTGGACGCGCTCGAGTGGCTCGGCCGATGCTCCGACCGCTCCGGGGACGGGGAGTAGGTCTGTGCGTGTGCGTTTGCGTGTGCGTTTGCGGTTCTCTCCACCATGGCCAGTGCTGCAGCGATGTCGCCTGAAAGAGTAAGATGTGTTGCATGATGTGTGTCTCGCCCTCCATTCTTAAGTACACACCCACTCCCTCATGATGTAAAGCCGTCTCCCAGGATTGTATGCCCCGTTGGAGGGGCAGGCAGAGAAACGTCATAACGAATCGGGTATCGGATGCGGGTGGCAAGCAACGGCCTGCCCCTAGGTTGACACCGAACAAAGCCAGCACGCGACGGTGGGTGAGGGGAGCATTGTCAACCGGGTAAACACATGTTGGCAATGACCCGGCTTTGACATCATTCAGGTACCTACCCCCAGGTGCAGTGCCTGAGTGGTGTTGTGAATCGAATTGCTGATTCATCAGCGGTCGAGGCTGTGGAGTGCCGGTTATCCGACCTGGGCTTGTTCCAGAACGCGGACTTGCTGCATCATAGCCACGTTGGTCTGCGGATGAACCAGTACGAAGTATATCCCAGCGATCAGGATTATGCTCTGCATCGAGTGTTTATGAATCATGGGAGAAGAGCTCCGCTCCGTGATAAGAGGTTATCTCCTTATCCAATTCTGATTTCATCAGTATCCGCGCCCAGTTCTTGAGCAACTTTGATCGACGTACCTGGAGCGTTGAGAGAATCTGGGCTGCCTAACAATTGTATGTCTCTTATCACTCGATTGTTTCCCTCGAATAACCATGACTTTCTCCAGTCAAGGAGGCCATACGCGTTAGCCGGGAAGCCGAGTCGGTGGATGAGTGAGGTTCTGTCAATGTATCCGAACAGCGCGAAAGATCAATTGAACGCGGGATCGCGGAGTTTTCTGGCAGAAGATCGACAGGTGGCTTTCCCTTCAGCAGCAACACGATCGGCTTCATCTTCAAGGACAATCCCGTCTTGGCGAGCTTGTCAGTCGGCGGGCGAATCGTACAGAAAATGTCATCCAAAATTCTTCACAAAAAGGTCTATATTTGTATTGAGTAGATAGTGAAAGTGGAAGTAAATTCGTGGTCCAGTTGCCGGAGCACAAGGCTCGGTTTGACCATCTAAGCGTTCTTTCATTGCACCAAGCTATCACATTATGACTTTGACAAGCTTCGAAAACAGCGCTAAAAGAAATCCAAGCTCAATTCAACTGTCAGAAAGTAAACCCGAAAAGCAAAAAAAATCCAAAGCAACATCTATAGGGTATTCATCGAAACAATGCAATCTAATGGTGTATCGGTCGCATATCAACAGGTGGTGACGTCATCACTAACATTCTCGCATCGTCTCCAAGCAGTCGCGGTCGCGAAGGTACAGGTCGATTCCGACGTCGACGCAAGCCTCGCGTAGCGGCTCAGTCAACTCATAAACCCGTGGGCGGATGAATCGCTCGCTCATGGAGTCGGACGCCTCGTAGCCAGACGCCTCTTCGTCCTCCTCATCGTGGAAAAATCCCTCGATATCGAGTCGCTTCAGGCTAGTGAATTGGGTCTTGCGTTTCTGGAGGACCGACTTAAGCTGTCCCACCAGCATGGTCAGCGAATTCTCCTTACATCCTTCCACATGCAAGGCTTCCAGAGACGGCGGGAGGATATCGGTAAGTGGACATGATGGGTCCAGCTGGTAGCGGATGTCGAGCAGATTGGGCAGGCGGATGCGGAGTTCCTTGAGCGAGGTGTACTCGGTCAAAGGACCAAACCATTCGTCATGTGTCTCGTTTGCCCCGACGACGGTGAAGGGCAGATGGGTGCCTCCATTGTCAAGCCACAGACTTTGCAAACAATGTTTGCTCGTATCCAGCGACCGGTGGAAAGAGGAAGGTCGGTAGCCCTCGGACAGAAGATGTGAGTCAGAGTGCTGGTACTTGAACGACTTCAGAGAAGAGCAGGAGGCGACCAGGCTCTCCATGCCCTTGGAACCACTGCTCGTGCGGAGAGTGATCTCTGAGATAGATGAGGAGCCGACTACAGTTTCATACTCAGAGTCTGCAGTCTCCGACTCGCTTTCTTCTGCCTGCGCAGTTTCAACAACGGAGTCGGCGGTAAACGTCCGCATCGATGGGAGTTGAAAGAATGGGAGGACTTGCGAGGGTGTAAAGCTCCCGCGGCTATCCTCGTCATCGGGCAGATGGCTTAAAGAGACATGTCGCAGCATACGGAAGGCGGGTTGAGTGTGGAATGGCCTCCCTCCCTTCACAGCTCTCTGGACCAAGCGATCCAAGTAGATGTTATTCTTCGGATAGACCAGTTGAAGGTGTCTGAGGTTACCCACCAGGGGCAGAAGAAGCGCAATCCAGGCTTCCTCGACTCCGTTCGAGAGATCCTGAGACCATCGTTCTTGTTCTTCTTCGGAATGGCTGAAACCTCCCGTCAAATTCGTGAAGGGTGTTAAATCAGTATCGGGAAACAGAGTAGAAGAGCACGTCGTTCGGGACTGCCATTCATGAAAGTCCAATGAGCGAACAGCCCGAGCCAGCTCGGGACGACGGAGCAGCGCCCCTAGAAAAGAACGTAGTTGAGCGCAGCTCTTCAGGCTAGCATCTCGATAAAGCAAGCGTCGAAACAACTCATGGAATTGACGAGACACAAAGAGGAGATTGTAGCGGTCCCGGCGATCTTCCACAAACTCCCCAATCAGGAGGAGTATATCATTCGGAAGTGCAAGAGTCATGATGAGCGAGCAAAATCAATTGCTATGCTAAGAGCAGAGCACACACACCCCAGTCTGGCACGAAGCAGCGATAAGAGACAGCCCACCGGAGGCCTGGGCCATTTAAAAAGGAGGTCGCCGCTACGCTGATAACCTAAGATACATAGCGGCGGTGATTGAATTTTTCCCCCCGTTTTTATTTTTTTTTCTCGTGGAGTTTCCACAATCTCTTCAAACTTTACCATATGGAGATGAAACCAGTAGATCCATGGCGGGCCTGCGAGCGGAAAGGGCGGAGGGGAAGGGTTCTGTGGATCGCCATGGAGGATCGGTTGACCTGCTTCATCCATGGTTCCAGTGATCGAGAAGAGTTCCGTAAAAGGCTCTCTCTCTCTCTTCTTGTGCATGAAGGCGCACAGAGTCGTCATTTGCGGCCACGAAACACAAGACGGGACGCTGTTGCTCCTGCTGCGGAGCTCCCGCTGCACAATTCATGCATGATGATGATGGCCTTGCTGAGATGGACGGGACTTTTGCCAGTGCCTGAAGAGACCCCCTTTCCAAAGCGAGTAGGACAACCGAGACGAGGCTGTTCGAATATCGGTAACCCGCGCTCAGCGAGAAGGGGCTCGAACCTCGCGGTGGTTCTAAATTACCCGAGGGGTTTCTATCCGCGGTCGCCACCGCAGGACGCCAGGGAAGGCTCGGTGGAGTGAGTCGTGATGAGCACAGGCTTCCCAACGGGCGCGGGGGATGAAGAGAGTGATACGAATGGAGGGGGGTAACGTGTCACTGCGAGGAGAGACAAGGGGCGCTGGTCTTTTCTCTGTTCGCGCTATTCTTCATACTGGCGATGTTGTCAGGCTGGGAAAGTTTGTGAAGCTGAAGGGGAGTATCAAGAAGAAGATCCCGAAGAAGAGCCGATGCGGGGAGAAGTCGCATTCTGCCCCTCGTTTGGCCGCCCTGTGTACGGTACCACCGACCTCGAATGCATTATACTAAAGTGCATCGGGACTTGAATGAAGTCAACACAGACCTTTAGGTACTAAGAAGCTGATTTCTGTCCATGAAGCACAAATGTTTCAGGCCGACGACCAATAGACCTGCTTCAGATGACGGTGAATTATTCATCTTGCAATCTTATTTTCAGTATGGTATATAAGTATGAGCATCATGCAAAGGTGGAAAGAGGCTCGAGGCCTGTGAGGCTAAGTCAGATGAACTTCACCTCAGCTCTTCGAGAACTATTCCTAACTGGAGATACTCATCGGTCTGCAAAGCTCATCCTCTATATCGCAAATGTATTAAATCTTTGAGACCCAGATGCTGGTCTCTTTTTTACTATACGGTTATCGTCCTCGTAGCAAATCATTAGAGCCATAGTGCGAACTACAGGCACGTATGGCATGCACTTAACCAAGCTAAAGCATGAGGATCACAATCGACTTGGCTGCTTTATCTGCTCTGGTCTCGAACCTGTCAAGGCAACAGAAACAACAAGAGCTACAGTAGCTGAAATGGGCACTCATAACCAAACAATAGCCAAAGTCATCCTCATTCCTCACACAAAAGACCATCCCATGCCTCAACCTTCCAAAGCCAGACATCAGACAAGCCATCAAGCCCATTAGCAAAGCTTGCGCACAATCTCGTGCCCTAGAAAGCCCACAAACTGACCTCAAAACAATTCACCATCGAAAGAGGAAAATGATATTCAATCGAACGCCTTATTCCAGAAGACAAATAGAAAAGAGAAAATAAAGTCAAATGCAAAGTACTGGGTGCATCTCCCCCTCGCTTCTTTCAACACCCATCCAACCGGCGAGCCTCCACGCGATCAACCCTTTGATCCCTCCCCTTATCCTTCCTCCCGAAGCCCATCAACGTCTTTTGTCTGTGGTCTGCGTCAAGACGGGTGCATAGTTTTGGTGCCTTGTTCCCATCGGATGAAGATCTTTCGATTTTGGTATACGATAGCTGAAAAAAGAGAAGGATCGGATCGCGTTCCCCCCTTCCTTACTCGCCATGGTAGGGTAGGTAGGTAGGTAGGTATCAAAGGGATTCGAATGGATGGATGAGAGAAAACACACCGCCTTCCGCGTCTATTTTTTTTACCGTAGGCCAAGGTCCGTCATCTCAACGTTGTCGGCGGAGCCCATCCAGAGGATGTTGTTGCATCTAGATTGAGGGACAGAAAGTCAGCGACTGTCGGAGAAGAGGACTAATCTGGGCTGGGTTGGTTTGGGCCCCGAGGGTGTCTCCCTCTGAAAGATCGACCCTCCCGCGCCCAAGTAGCACCCAACTGATACGCACCTGATCAGCACAAGCCCCAAAGTTCCCGTGTTCTTGCCGTCAATGAACTCTTCCGTATCCCGCAGCAGCACGTTCATGTACGAGTCGATGCTCTCCAGCTTGCCCTTGTACTCCGTTTGGCCCCATTTCAGGCGGATGACGACCTCTTCACCGACCCTGTGTGGCAGAAACAAAATGATTAGATCCTGCGTGACTCAAGTGGGGACTCCTTCGACATGAGAGAGGAAAAGGTTGCGCGGCTGATGCGAAGAGGAAGTGGGGGGGTAGCTCGAGACGTAAATCCGGTCGACGGGGACTCGCATACCTAGCTTGGAGGAAAGGGCGGGGGTTGACGGGGTTGAACTGCGGAAATCAGAGTTAGCATTGCCGTCCACTGACACTGGCTCTTTTTTCGAATAAAAGAGAAGGGCTTGGTGGGATAGGAACGCGCTGCGTACACTCATATCGGCGGGATCTGATCGGATGCTAGCTGTTTGGCAAGCTCGGGATTGAGACGGCGAACCGGAGTGTGAAGTCTCACGGCAGTAAAAATGTATCTTAGCGTGGAGACGAGATGCAAAGGTCCCGGAGGGAGGTCGAGGACGAGGTTGATTGAATGTTCCGGAGGATTGAGAAGTGAAGATGTCGAGCGACTAGTCGCAGTGTCGCCAAGTTGACGACCGCCGGGCTGGACACACCGCGAAAATGTGATGCGGCTAGACGCGGGCTCAAGCCAATTAGAGAGCTAGGTGGACTCACCGCCTTTCCGGACATCGCAGTATTTCTTTCTAAGGTATCAAGCTTGGGAAAAAATGGCATTTTATGGCGTGAACTGAGAGATGACGTTTACCTCAAATACCATACTATTGGTTCGAAGCCTTACTCATCATAGGACGAGCATCGCAGAAACTATGGGATCAATGACACCGAATGTCAAAATGTTACGTTGAGCTCAGCTAAAACGCCGCAAATGTACACGAGAGAAAAGAAAAACCTAAGATTCCCCCCCCAATCGAGGTCATAAAAGACATCTAGGATCTTCCCACCGTCCAGGAAATCTCTTTGATAGAAACCTCATCGCCGGCCTTCTCATCGTAGTCATACCACTCCTCGGACAAATCAATGTCGGTGAACGGGGTGTTCGACTCGACACCCTTAGCCAGCCACTCGCCCTGGTAGAACTCGCATTAGCTTTTTTTTTCTTGCATCCTGTAAAGATAGACTAGGCAGGGTCAGAAACTGGCGAACACTTACATCGGCCTTGAATTCGGTAAACTCCAGACCCCGGCAGTCGATGTCAATCACCTTCTGGCCGGTGCGCTTGTCATTTGCCTCGTAGGCGTTGGGCCCCGCGATGATCGAGGCAGAGTGGGTTTTCTTTTCACGTAGCGACGTAAGCGAATCAGGGATTCTTTCTGGGTCATGGACGGGGCATGATGGGCAAGACAGGAAGGATCCTCACCTGGCAGAGCTTGCATTTCCACACAAAGTTGGCCTCGCCCCGGCTTCCGGGGATTTCGTGCTGCTCCTGAGTGTCTCTGTGAGTGGGTGCAGCTTTTTCCTGCAGAACCTGGGGATGGACTTACGAAGCGGGTGAAGCTGACGGGGTTGGGGTGAACCTCACGACAGCTTGTGCATTGAACCTTGAAGGTGTAGTAGTAGGGCTCCTCCTCGGTGTCCTTGGGACGGAGCTCGTTGACTCTGTGAATTTTACATGGGTTAGCTACGGTTTAGGTCATTTTGATGCATGCATAGAGAATATGTGTTGCGTCAGGTGCGGGGAAGAGGTTTGAAGTCATGCAGAGTGGCAGAAAAAAAGGCATGAGAACCTTGCGGGTGAGACCCGCCGGCGGCTTTGGTGTGGAAGACCGAATCATATCATTGACTTACCCGTTGAGTTCGGCGGAGAGGATCAAGGAGAGCATTCTGGTGGATGTTCCCGGTTGTGTTGTTTGTGTTGGGCAGATCGCTGGCGGGGAGAGGACGAAGTCATACAGGTCTGGTGCGGGGCCGTAACAATGGTTCACACTTCGGCAGGCTATGCTGCCGCCTTCGCCGCCTTTACATCATTTTCTTTTCTCTTCGCTGGGCTGCTGGCCGACAATCTCATACAATAATTCGCCTATTTTTGCTCTAAGTGGTTTGAAATAAATTTGGAGAATTGAATTTCTCGGGATATATACAACAACGCCAAAACATGCCAGGTCGCAACCGCTGCAATAGCACAAACCCGAAACTGCAAAAATAAAAAAGAAAACTATTTACAGACTCCAAAGCAAGGAGGCCAATCTCCAAACATAAATTACAGACATCTTATTCCAAAGAAAAAACCCATCCTCACAGTCGGCTAGCCTGCTGATCCTGGCCCAGCGGCTTCGTCGTGAAGGCACCAAAGAAGGCATTAAGAGCGTCGACCGTGCCACTGCCCTCCACCAATTGAACCGTGCAGGCAATGTGGCTGTCAGGACGAGTGACGACAACACCACCAACCTCAGGGTCAAATCCAAGCTTCTCGTGAGCGGCAAACTTGGCGTGAGGAACCCGCACGTCGGGAAGGTCATCGGCGTAGATGTGGTGGTGGTAATCCCGTAGGATCTTGGGCACAGCCGCCATGTCGACCTTGTTCTTCTCGTCGGCATAGATCACACACAGGGAGAAGAGCTTGGAGTGAGGAAGGTGGCGCTCGAAGAAGGAAACATCGGCGATGTCGCTTCTGCGGTACACCGACAGGAAAGAGCGCTCCTTCTCCAGGTTGGCAGCGAAGTCCGCGATAGCCTTGTTGGTCTTGGCCTGCTTGCCGGCGAAGACGAAGATACGGAACGCACCGTTGGCGGGGATCTCTTGTTCCAGCTCCACGAAGTTAGCATCCGCCAAGCGAGTGACGGTGCTGGGAGTGAAAGCACGACCAGGGATCAGCTTTACGCCAGGGATGTTGAAGAGAGGAGACTGGGCGGGGTGGGTCTCATCCCAGGTGAAGACGTTGGACTTGTAAGCAACGCCATAGCCACTGGTGAACTCGCAAGACTCCTTGAAAGTCTTGACGAAGGGGTCCTCCTCGACATTGGCCGCGGCGGCGTTGTGGCTGGCCTCGCCGACTTCGCCGGCAGTAGGGCGACGCTTGGAGAACAAGGCAGCGTACTTGTTATCGAAGCTCAGGAGAGTCTCGGCGATGTCTTTGCGCTCGCTCTCATACGTCTTGAGGATTTCGCGCTTGGCCAGTCCGGACTCAACGGCGTGGATCTTCCAAGCCATGTTAAGAGCATCGTGGAAAGCCGTGTTCATGCCCTGGCCGGCCTTAGGGCTGTGAGTGTGGCAGGCATCACCACCCATGAACACCCGCTCGTCCAAGGTATACCGTTCCGAGATGCCCTGGCCGATAGGGTAAACGGAGTACCATTCCACGCGGTCCCACTCCACCCAGTAGGGCTTCAAGATCTTCTTCGCGGTCTCCTGAACTTCCTCGGCGGTGGCAGTCTTGCGGGGGTTGAAGTCGGGATCAGTGGACGAGGCGATCTGGACGTAGAGACGGACCATGTTGTCCTCACGGGGGATAACCATGATAGATCCGGCATCGGAGTGGATTGTGCACTTAGTCTAGGGATTGCGATGCGATGTTAGCGAATGCCAATTTCCGCGGCTCGGATGTGATGCGACGGCTTACCTCGATATCAGGGAAGTTAGTTCTCACGACACCATCCATGACACCCCAGACGTAGGAGATAGGATCCTTGTGGTGGATCTGGATGCCCAGCTCCTGTCTAACAAAGCTGCGGGCACCTTCACCACTGAAGAGGTACTTGCTGCGGACGGTCTTGATCACATTGGTGTCGATGCACTTCAGCTGGACCTCGACGGGGTAGGTCTCGTCCAGGCCGTCGTTCTTGAAGCCAACAATGGTCCAGGGTCGATCGACGGTGGTACCAGCCTTCTGGATCTCGTCAAGGAAGACGCGCTCGATCTTACCCTGGTGGACGAGGGTGGTGAAAGGGTATCTGGTGTCGATGAAGCGCGGGCAGCTGGGCCAGCTTCCAGTGCGGTGGATTCCTTGGTCACCGGGGAGGGGATCCCAGAAAGCGACATCGTAGACCTTGGCGGGCTCATAGGCCATAATTTGGCGCTTCAAGCCCAAGTTGCGGAGGATCTCAGTCGAGCGGGGCTGGATTCCGTCGGCGCGGCCAGTGGCGGTGGGTACGGGTCGGTTATCGATGTGCTTAACCTTGTAGCCCCAACGAGACATGCACAGCGACAAGAGAATGCCAACGGGGCCAGCGCCCACAATGACGATATCATACTTCTCTTGCGATTGAGTCATGATGCTGTGCGACAAGGGATCTCTGTTTGGTAAAGTGGTTGTGGGATAAGAAGAGGAGTAAGTGGTTCGGAGATCAAGGGTCAGGATTCACGACCATCAGCCACAAAAAAGAATGAGTGGAGAGTGATGAAGAGGTAAAGATGAAATGTGAGTAATGAGTTGATGATGATACAAGAAGAAGAAAAAACCCAATTGAACGACATGAGGATGATGCAGGTATAAATAATATTGATTGAAAAGCTGAAGACAAGGGTCCCACCGGATTGCATACAGGCGGCAAGCAACGGAGACGTAGGACGGCATTTCAGTGTGGGCTAGATTGTGGAGGAGCCTGGGGGTGAATTGCGACCGAACTGAACTATGGCCGGGGAGGGCCTTGAGAAGCAGACCTATTGAGTAAGCTTGCGGGACACCGAGAATTACAATCTGAGTAAGATAGAGGGCGACAGCCTCCAATTGGAGGACTGCGGGGCGGCCACTGGGATTGCCGGTCTGCGATCCGAGCCTCCGCACTCTGGGAGCGGCTAGAAGTTCGGCAGGTGGAGGGAAGGTGGAGGCCAGAGCACGTGATGCTGCTCCTCGGCAGCCTCTCCCGGGATTTCCTCTCTCAATCCCTTCCACTTGATTGGCTCAACTCGTGCCGAACGCCGAACTGTTCACGGAGTTAAGGTACTGGTAGGTACTAAAACCCAGTCGAAAAGTATGCGAATAGTACGGTAGGTAGTTGAATTCCATGTAGGGATTCGGTCAATGTCCCCGCTACGAGGCTCGGTCTGGGTCTCTATATCAGGAATTGCATATTACGAGAATCGAAAGGCAGTATTGATTTGTAGCTGATTTCTTGACATCGTTATAAGCATCAGTACATCACAAGGTTATGAACGTTCGCTGCATAAATTCCAATTTGGGGCACCAACCAGTCTCCAGACATCTCCGACGCTGCCGGCCACAACCCGGCAATTTACTCCGAGATTTGCTTCCCCTTGACTCGCCTACTAGGTACCGACTTCAGTGCCTTGAGCTCTGTCCCGACGGACTCGGGCCCCAGATCAACGGTAGATCTTGACCCCATGGGACATGTTCCCGGTACTTCGGAGGAGGGCCAATAGCAGCCGCATGATAGACGATGTTTAATTCATCTGGCGACTGCTCAGTCCATCCGGCTGGATTACGATTCGCAGTCCGGCCTCAGGCACGCAACAGGTAGTGCATTTTTAGGCTAGCAATCCCTGCTATACAGTGGCAATCATAATTAGCCCGGTTAGGATCATAAACAAAGCGATAACCCCACTTTTTTACTGACCCGATGCTTGGTCTCGAGTTGAATAGACTCAATGCCATACGAAATGCAGACCAGCAGTTTAGTGATTAATGCGTCGGCTCATAGACAGTACAGTGGTTTGTTCTTACTCCACTCAGGTAGCAGGTTAGTCGAGGCTTATCGTCATGTCAACTTGAATGGAGTAGGAGAACGAGGATCATGCTCTACTCTATATCGGGTTATTCAATATTCAAATGTCGGGACTCATATCTACACAGGAAAAGTATAGGGCAGGCAAGAAGTTCATCCTGACTTATCATCTGTTTAAACATGGAGCACGTGTTCAAGTACTATCAATTGCGAAGAGACGTATCAGTAAGGAAATCTGAGTCTCAACTGCAACTATCCAGATTGACTTCCTGAGCATATTCTTTACCTAGCCTACTAGAGCCATTGCCCTTTTTCTATGTGCTTATCCTCTCAGTAGAATTATAACACAAGCTTGATAGAGCTACTGGTTGGAAAAAGCCAGGTGGGTAAGGAAAGCTGAGCCTCAACTACAACTATCCAGATTGATTTACCTAGTGTGTTGTTTCGCTTAGCCTATTCAGACTATTGTCCTTTATCAATTGTAGCTATTCACTCATCCCAGCCTGGGTGGAGTGGCCCCCCACCTTAGTTTTTAAAATTGTAGAAGTGATATGATCATTGTCCGAGAGATTACTACATTCACTATTTAACACATTGGGTATTGATGACAATAGAACAATAAGGATATGAATGACTCAATCCAGCATCTGATCTCCCAGTTCTCCCTCTCAAACATTTTTTTCTACATTCTGCTTGATCTTATTCCTTGACATCCTCCATATGTTGCTGTCGATCCTCTCCTCGCCCTCATCTAACGAGTATCCTTGATCACAATTGTCAAAATGAGCGACCGGATTCGCCCACAGTACACCATGCTCCAGTCACAGTAAGTACACGAACCAACCGATTCGGGTCTTGAAAGACTGACTTCTGAGATAGGGACCTGAGCTACGACGATATCGCCAAACTCAATCCCTTCTATGAACCATTCATGAAGTTCTGGACAGGCTCTCCAACTAGTGACACGGTTGTTCCATACGATGCTCAGTCATCCGCCTCGTCGGAGTACATTCCTGTTGGAATTGAATCAGATCTGTCACCTCGCCACTCACCTCCGTCGCCCGTGATGCACCAGTCCGAGTTTGACGACACAGTCTGCGTGCTGGAGGCACCGAGCATCACACTTCACAATGGCCGTGGACACCATATCGGCTACCATCCATACTCTGAGCCCGAAGTCAGCCAGACGGTCATGATGAGGCTCAGCCCTAGCCCTCAGCTGTCTCCGACTACCGCAGACTTGACTGGTGTTTCGCTGGTTGGGAACCCCCTGAGCGGAAGCAAGCTTTCACACAAGAAGCTTTTCGGCGAGAACGGCTGGCTGGGGAGCAACGCAGATCTCAGAGAGCTGGCGGGTGACAACCACAAGTCTTTCGGCTTGCGCAGACTGGGGAAGAAATTCAAGATGCATGTTGAAGACCTGGTGGAAGACCTGGTAAGTGGACCACCATGTCACGATGGAAGACCATGTCCTGACATGTCCTTGAAAAAGACCGTTGACCTTTTCAAGGTCAACCTTAGCATCCATTCCTCCGGGCCTATGCCTGAAAGGTATGGACCTGCAAGGACTGTGCCGGTTTCTCTGGATGCTCCGACCCAAGCAAGACTGTACTCGCAGCTGGAGGTTATGATCTGCGTAGTTGCCAACAGGTTCCTCATCGAACAACACAATAGAGGTCTGCTTTCCGGAGAATCCATTTCCAAGGTCACCAAGTACTGGGCTGCAAAGAATCGGCCACGAGTCGTGGAGTTTCACTATGATCAAGCTACCCAGCGCCAGCTGATCTTGTCGAACCTTCGGACTGTTCAATTCAACGGGTCTAGCGCGACCAACCCCGTACAATTGAGAACGAACCTGAACAACTGGAAAGCGATCGGCAAAGAGATGAGCGTTCGCACTTTCTGCGCCCCGGACAGCGCGATTCGGAAGCAAATGTATGACATCCATAAGCTTCTGGAGATGCTCGGAGCGCCCTTGGATACTATGTGTGACTTCGAAGAGTTGCAGATGCAGGCTTTGTTGTTGATGAAGCGCAGCTGAGTCGGCCGGAATATACTATGGTGCAGTGGGGAAGTCGGGGCTACACTTGTGAAATGACGGGGCAGTTGATTCGCCCTTACCGGCTCGATCTTTGTGTTTTGCTTTTCATTTTCGCTGATTTTTAGTTTTTCCCTTTGATGTCTCTCGCGAAAACGGAGTTGTCAAGCGTATCGAATGATAATCTAGAAAATCAATCAATTTCTCTGCCTTTTGATTCCGTCACGCGTGGAATTCTTGGCCGAATGAACGGATTGCCATCATGTGCGGATCAGGGTTATTGCATAATCGGGGATCCTAGCTCGGACGAATAACAGCTTCAAATGACCAACGTGGCTCCTGCGTGACTGCTGTCATACTCGAGTTGATGAGGTGGCAGTTGCGGTCGGGGTTGGTGGTGGTGTTGGTGGTGGTTGTAAGTTGTAAGTTGTAAGTTGTTGTTATGGTGGTTGTTTTGCATTTGCATGGGTGGATGGTTTGTTTCTTTTTCACGTGGGGTCGACGTCATCCTCTCTTCCTCCGCCCATCACCAGAAAACTGGAAGTTGTTTCTCTTTTCCCCCATCGGTTTTTCTCCCTTCATAAACCTCGAGAATGCTTCAAACTTCCAGCGGATGCTTGTCATCATGCGTCCGTCGATATTTTTCCCTTTTACGCTATGACACGTCGACTTGTCCTTGTCTAGACAGATTCCCCTGCCAGTTGGAAGCACTCCTGAGTGCTTAATTCTCCCTTGCTGGCCCTTTCAGCGCGCGCTGCACTGACCGTCCACCCAAAGCTAAATTATTTTTGTGCCACATCGTTTCCATCTTTCCTCGCTCACAGTCTGCTACAGACTTGATCTGACTGGTTTGCGCTAAGTTCTTTAGTACTTAAAGCGAGCTACGCCCACAGGGATAGTGTGCCTATTCTCTGCCATCACAATGGCCGCTCCTATCCATACTTACGGACCTTCATGTTTTCTGGCAGCCGATGCTTCGGATCCTTCCTCATGGCTCTACTCCGAATCTCCTCCGAGCGTACGGCCTCAGTTCTTCTATACCTCTCCGCTACCGATAGATGACCCCTTGACTGCGCTACCCCCTCCAAGTGGTGGTCAAGGATCCGCCAATGCGAAGGCTCCGCTCCAACCTTACTCGGTCCGGGATAACGCTGCTCTGGAAGAAGCCTGGAAGTCGCTACAACGGGTCCGAAGAGAAAGTCTGGTTACGAAAGCCAGGGCACAGGAAGGGCGCGCTTCCAAAAGAAACTCGGGGATACTTGTTCCAGGGCAAGAACCAACAATAAGCGCAGAATGGAAGAAGAAGATGGGACTATCCCTGGGCTCCAGCCTGGAAGACAGCCAAGGGAAGCAGAACACTGCCGTCCCACTGTCTCTGGATGACAGGGCATTGAAAACCTTCAGAGGTCGATTCAAAAACGAGTTCGGAAGCCCCGGGTTGGAGCATGAAGGAAACCGGAAAAGGTCACGTACGCTGGAAACTAACTCGAAGGAGAACTTGAGGCCGACCAAGGTCACTTACAAGGGCAGAGAACCATTTCCTCGGGAAGATACTGAGCCCACGGGAGTCAAACCCAGCGGGGTGCTACGGACGGAGGACGTCGCTTTCGACAGTGGCGATAGCGTCAGCTCCCGGGGTAACACTTCGCGAGATGCAAGTATCAGCGGTTCTCCGTTTATCAGAGCCCCAATTCACAA